CTATCTGAGCTTCCAGTAAAATTCTTCACTTACCATTTTATAGTAGACTTTTAAAAATAAATAATATCAGACAGCTCTTTCTGCCGCTTGTGTCTATCTATACAAATGTCTTTTTCGCTTCCTTTTTAATAAAGCTGTTCTTAAAGTAAAAAATAAGTAAAATTAGATGTCACTCCTCTACACATGAACAGAAATCCCTCTAAAATAACTTTAGTCCATTTCCCTACTCCTAAAAATGCCACCAACTGATGACTATCTCGATATTAGAGTTCTTTTTAGTAATGCAAAATCTAGCTCTAGCATATCTGAGAGTGTGGACAGGAAGAATAGTTTTCAGACTGTTTGAAATGATTTCAAGGACACTTAGCCAAAGCCCATGTTACTTGTATTAAGAACTAAAATGGCACATCTTCAAAAAACTAGCAACAACAAGAACTAAAATGATTTGTCATTATTGCCAGGTTATATTCAGAAATCTTAAGTATCCCAGAAATAAGCAATTAAAATATTTGGGGACATTTCATTGCTGTTCCTATTCATATGATATTAGCAGCACTTATTTGTTTGAAAATGCACAAGTACCTGATCAATAGTACTCAGTACATGTTAGGTGTAGGTAGTAGTGGTTGTAGTTATTATAAATTGTTACCAATTGTATTCCTAGCCCATCCTCAGATTTTAAAGAGTTTTACATTAAGCTGAAGATTAATTTGGTTTAATTGAAGAGTGTTTCTTGTTGCATTTTAGTTAATGCTCAATGATATGATTTGCAGCCATAACTTCATATCCTGAAGTTATCACTTGGTTAGCCAAGGGGTAGATAAAAAAGCAATTTATAGGGTTTTTTCTTTCTCCCAAGTAATTTCCCTATTGGATTTTATGTTTCCTTTTCTTATATTTCCTCAAATCTACTTTTAGTTTTTTTTGTACAAGTTCTCTTTGTTTGAGGGCCATTTTTATTGATTTTTCAAAGAATTCTTTTTTGATTATTATTTTTTTAAGATTGACTTATTTATGCATACCGAGATGGGATACAGTCAGAAGTGCAAGGGTAGCGAGAGGATTCACCAGAAACAGAGTGGGGAGCAGAACAGGCAGATTCACAAAGTACATTGCTGAAGGGAGCAGCGGGCAGGTCAGGAGAGGTCTGCTGCGCCATGTGGTCACCTCCAGGGCCGGGGATCGAACTCATGTTGAAGTGGCTTTAGCTTCTTAGTGCTGTGCTTTAATCCCACTGGCCACCAGGGCGGGCCCACTAATTACATTTTATGTGATTCTACTGCTCATTGAAATCTGTGTGTCGTGAGATAAATATCTGACACATTCTTAAAATAACTATTTCCAGACCAACATTTATACCCACACTATGGACTTTATTGTCTATATCATGAGTTAGATAATTTGTATTTGTCTTCTAGAGTTTCAGTCCAGTAACTTTTGTACTTCTTTAAGATTTAATTCACTAGGCTCCATTATGCATATTCAGTCTCCTAACCAGACTCTAGGGACTTTTACAGAGAACTTCTTACAAACCTGCAACAGTTTGTGTCAATTAAAAATACACTTGTAGAACAATCACGAGGCAACTCTCATTTCTGGATTTCTACCTAACATTTTGGGACAATTTGTGTTTTCTTTGTTGTTCATTTAATTATTATTTTAAACTCTATGAAATATCTGTTGGCCTTAAAAAAACTAAACGTTTAGTATCATTTCTAGACTAGTCACTGGAGGATAAGCATCGTGTTTTAAACTTACTGCACTATACATTACTGCTCTGTCCTGCTTGTTTGGGCCATATTTATGTATTCATATGTTCAACAAAAGATAGTCTCTGCTGGAGGCAACCAGACAACACCTATATTGTTTACTGTGTCAGAGATAAGTACAATAAAGAAAAAAATAGGATATTAGGCTGAGGAGGAAGGACTGCTGTATTAAAGAGGACCACCCATAAGGGTATCCTTTATCAAGATAATCTGGGCACAGAAACCTAATGAATTTGAGATCTTGGAGTGGCAGATGAGATTTTTTTCAATCAGAGGGAGCAGCAAGTGACAGAGCCCCAAAGTGTCACATTCTTGGTGTATTCAAGGGGGACAAGAAAAGGATCACTCTGGCTGCCTGTGGGCAATGATAGAGACCCAGAGATCTGAGACATAAAAATCCCTGGAGGATTACCACCCCTCCCTCCCAGCCCCCCTCCCCCCCACACATGGCAGTTCTACAGCATTATCCATTCTACTTTGTCCTCTTTCATATGCGTGAGTGCTGATGTTCTCTTGGAGTAGGCAGGTAGAATAGAGGAGACTCACTGACCTAAGTTGAGTATAAAGAAAGAATTCTCCTCAGGTTGTGTACTGAGAAATGCTACCCAATTGACGTGTTAATACAGGGAACCACATTTCCAGAAGGCTCAGCACCCATGAACCTTTGCTCTGTCACCCCTACTCCCTACATTTTAGAGGAATTAAAGACTCTTCTTCAATCGATCAAAAAACCTTTGGGGTTGGAGGCAAGTAATGTGTACCTCTCCATCCTTAATCTTGACAGCCTTTCAATAGAAAACTGGCCCCAGGAGAAGAGAAGAATTGTATGGTGGTGTGGTAGGCTCTGGAACCTCAGCAGAGATTTGTTCACTCTGCCAGTCCCACAGTGGATATTTGTAAAGTGACATATGTACCATAGACTCCTTCTTTTCAGAGAGTCACTGTTAAAGGAATAGAGTTTAGCAAGAATCCAAAGCTAAAATTGGACCATAAGGCCTTTGCTGTCCAAAATTCGTTAAGAAATTGTTTAGAAGTGTTAGTTTGGTAGTAAATTGCAAAGAATGAAAAATGCAGACCTATAATATATTGTCCTTTCAGACAGACTAAAGATTTGATACCAAGAATAGATTTGGTCTTTTTTTGCCTCCCATAAATAATGGTGTTTGTAGATGATAAAGAAAGATGAGGTTGATAGCCAGAACTTAGAAAATGGTCACTGAAACAAAAACTTTTTTAGATTCTAGTTTAAGAAAAATTTGGTCAGCATAATTGTATTTTACAAATGGTTTGTTTTGAAGATTTTTCCTATTTTGCAGACTTGTTTTAGCTATATTGCTGTTACATTGATGTGAAATAGATTTTAAAAAAATGAAACCTAAAAATTTTATTTTCTTGTGACTCATAATCTATAGAGAATAACTGTTTGTTGAGACACTTGTTTTCATTAATTACATATTGAATATTATGGTCCACATCATTCTAAGAGAAGACAGATTGTGCGACTATGGGTTTAGATGTGGGTGGAGATGCGGGCACAGGTGTAACTATGTAATAATCACCAGCACTTAGACGACTGTAATTATTGAATAACAGAATAGTAAAAGGCAAAAGATTTATGTGATGTGTTTCAAGTATAAAATCGTTAGATTTGAATCTGATTCCACTGCAGTGAGATAGAATAATGTGATGCTTTAGACAGGAAAACCTTTGAAAAACTAACTTGTTACTAACCATCTAACCATATAATAGTAGGAAAGCTTCATATATATCAGGATGTCCGCATTCTTCTTTCTTTTTAACCAGTAACATTCTACACCCAAGCACAGCAAAACCTGGCATGACACCCTAAAACAAGGTCTTCCCTGTAGCTGAAAATGAAGTGTGAATCTTCCATTAAAGAGGAAGATGTTACTGGGTGAGGCTTAAGGAAGACCAAAAGCCACGTATTACTGAATCCATTACTTGGTAATGAACCAAAAGTTTAAAAACCGAATGGTTTGTTTTCAAGATTTATGAAATATGTATGAGTTTTCTAATGACTTTGTCAAAATGTGTGGTTTCAAAATTCTCATATTTGAATATTTTATCTCTCTCTCAGTCTCTACCAGAATTTAAAAAATGTAGTTCCATGCCCTAGTAATTTTTAAATTTATATGAATCGCAAACAGTCTAAATAATAATATTTCTTTCCTTTCATCCGATCTCTTCTCTCTTAAGAGAACTAATAGCAGAAGCATCAGGTTGCTGGTAAGGAACCAAAGCAAGGACATTACGTTAGAACCGACGCAATGATTCTCCCAAGTATTCAGGGTGGGCCATTTGTTCATCTGGGCGTCTCACACTGAGACAGTAGGACCAGATAGGGGAAGGTAGATCTGAAACTCTGGGATTAGTCCTACCTTACTTATAAATTCCAATAATCTCTACAGTTACCAAGCTCTAGCCATATGTCCATGAATCATGACAAAGCATAAATCAGAAATTCAAATACTTAACCCAGTCATGAGAACAAATCTAGAAAAAAAAAGTAAATCCAAGCAAGTCAATCTCTTACAGCCTTCAAACCACCCTCCCTAAGACCTACTTTCATGCAATGCCAAATATGCTTATTTATATTACCTACTCACAGCCATCATTTAGATAAGCTGATCAATGTAGAAAATCTAGGGGATTTTCCAGATAACTTTTTTCCTGGTGAATAACTTCTAATTTCATTCTAAATTGCTGTTATGACCTTAAGCCTACCATTTATGTAGCTTTTTTATGATTGCTCTGCTGGAAAGTATATTTCACTCCTAAATACTATAATAAACCATGAGAACATAATTAATTGACTGTGTAAGCCTTTTCATCTTTTCCATTTCTGTTCAGATAGAAGCATTTGCATAATAGTCACTGTAGCAAAACCGAGTTTTCAAATTGAATTTATTTTCTATTTGACCCTTATTTCTTGCTTCCAAAACTAAAGTATTTGTAATTATGAGGCTGTTTTTCTAGTGACAATAATTATTAACAGACCTTCGTTGTATTCTGCATTTTCTTACAGTTGATTGTAAAAATTACTAAAATAATTTTTTTAAATGTTCATTATTTTAATTATAAATACATTGATTTAAAAATATATATCAGAGCTAGCTATAATCGTTGAAATGTGTTGCTAGCCACTTGCCCTGTGCAGGTCATCTTACCTGTTTTTTGTTTTTGTTTTTGCTGTTAAAATGTTCAATCCAGGTTCTACATGGTCAGCTATTATGAGCGGAATCACAGAATAGCGGTTGGAGCTCGCCATGGTTCAGTGGCCCTGTACGACATCCGGACTGGAAAATGTCAGGTAAATAAATCATTGTGACTTCCTCTCCATGAAGTGTGGAAGTTATTGAAAGCAGTGAGAGACTAGCACTTCACCAGTTGACGTGCTGAGCTGCTGGAACATTATGGATAATGCTACAGGGATCAATAGTTTAATGAAGGACTCAAGGAATATAGAGTCCTACTGTCTTTATTCACTCAGAATGGAGGGCAGCCATGGCGGGTGCAGATGGGAGATCCGAGGAAGGGGGTTCTGCTCCCCAACCTGACAGCGATAAATCTTGGCTCCTTTCAAGCAAAGTTCTCTCATTTCATTTCCACCATTGTTTTCAGAATTATGATGCGTGGCTTCAACAAAATGAATTCCCTAAGTAAAATGAAATATTTAGCAAATATGAGGTAGTATTGTAATCAGAGTTCAAGAAATCAGTCATAGTGTGGCTCTATCAGAAGGGAGCTGCGCTCTATTTGAAATAATACACTTCTTAACCTTTTAAGGGTACTACTATATATTTTTATAACTTTATTGCTTATAAAAAATTCTTCATTTTGATTGTGTTCACCTGATTCTCAGTCTGCCAGTCAGGTAGACAGACCAAGTCCTGCTTTGCTTTAGAGAGCAGTGAGTGAGACGCTCCGAGACTTTAAATCTCATTCTCCAGAGTCATCCTAGTTAATGGGAAAGCCAGGATGAAGGTCCACTGTGATCATGGTGCACTTATAGTGCTCACTGGTAACATTTCCAAGTCATAACTTTCTAGGTTTCACTGTAGCATTTACTAATGCTAATCTGTTCAGCCCTATTTGGAATTGCATTCAGCTGGATTAGATTGGTAATCAACTCTATAAGGAATTTCCAGAAGGAATTGCATTCAGCTGGATTAGATTGATAGTCAACTCTAGCAGGGATTTCCAGAAGGAATATGAAGAAACTCATAAGGATGTGGCTAAAATTCGAAAACTATCTCTTAAATTTAATAAATTATGAATTAATTCTTCAACTCTCCAGCTCTCAGCCTTTTTCCTTGAAATCGGTCTTAGGATAACAACAGCAGTTGGGAGTAAAAATATCAGAGAAAACCATTTGCCTGGTTAGATGATGCTAGAGAGCACCATTTGCTTGCCAAACACGTTCCGTTATGCAGAACTTTTCAGAGCCTCTCAGCTGCAAGTGTGCATCCTGCACTTCGAAGCAGTGTGTGGAGATGTGCCATGGGCCTCATCATATTAACAGTTCACTTCTGCTTGTGCCAGAAGGCTTGAAATCTGCTCTGGGGGCTGTGTTTCTCTGCTTCCAACTCTGACTTCATGCCATAAAACCACTCTGAATACTCATTAAAGGTGAACTTGCATTGTATGTTGTTTAAAATACTCTCCTAATGGAGACAGTCTTCAAATAACATTTCAGAATCTCTTTTGGTTAATTTTTTTTTAATTGGGTTATATTTCCACCAGCATCTTTAAAAGTAAAATGTGAAAACCCTAGAGCCGACTCTTGTTGGACAGGACACAATTGCTAAAAGCAGAGAAAAGTCAGGGAAGTGAGGGAAGGACACCGAGAGGAATTGATGAGCAAGTTCCAGCTCTCCTGAAGAAGTGCACATTCTTTTCTGTTTTCTTCTCACTGTCCCAGAAGTCAGAACATGAAAAAACAAAAAGATAACTTGAATACTTTATCCTTTTTAATTAAATTTCTTAATCAAAAATATTCTTTCTGTCCAGGAATCTGTAATGCCATTTTTCTGCCATTGCACTTTCTGCACATCCCTTCAGTATATTCAGCATCTCAGGTGCCCGGGGCTTGTTGCTTTTTTTGTGGGTTTTGTTTTTTTATTTCATAACCATGTGCATATTTTTTAATTCCGCGAGTGAAAGTGTTCTCATGATAAAATGATGATAGTCTGTTATTGTGAGAAGCAATTCAGAATACTTATGTAAAATTTTGAGCATAAGGCCTGCCCCATCGTTAGTATTAAAGTCAATATCAGTTATTATTACGTTAAAATAAATTTGGAAACATATGACATAGCAATTTAACTTAATTAATTTTACATGATTTGAAAGACGAGTCTTGAGACTTCAGCATGTTTGCAGACTCCCAGAGATCCAGGCTCACATTCATCAGTTTAGAGCAGTTGTGTGGAAAAGTTCAGCAGGATTGCCCTAGATGGTTGGCAGATTTCCTTTCTAAAGGCGGCTCTTGCCCCGTGTCAGCCTGAGTCTCTCCTGACTATGGAAATCAGAAACTTTGATGCAGCTCAATAGTTAAGATCCTGCTGTGTTGCTGATTTTGCTTGGCAACTCCTAGCCATTTAGGAATATACCTGACTCGAATTTTGCATAATTAAAAGGAAAAAGTTATTCCCAATGAAGTGTTTAAATTTTGTCAGTAGACGGTGTTCTTCATAAGTAGGCTAGTTAAGTTCCAGGAGTCCAAAGAGCTACAGGCATACATGTGTTTTGTTAAACCAGCAATGAAAATCCTCCCTCTAGCAATATTTGCCTTCAGCTCTCCAGACTTGATATTCTACTTCAATGACTTTTCAATCTTTTTGAACAGTCTTTGTAATAAATAATGGTTGGCTCTGTGCAAGTTTTGCTTAGGGTCACATTAGCTAATCTTCCTTATGAAGTTTATACTGTGGCACTTGGTGGTATCTGATCCACTTTGGTAAATCTAGGTACTTATTTCTGATTTTTGTCATAGTGCTGTAAAAAGGCAGTGATGCATGGGAGAAAGAAAGTGTAGCTGAGGTTTATCTCAATCTTAAATCACTACAAAACTTTGCTGTGGAAAATGTTAAGTACATTCCTCAAGAAGCCTGTGTATAAACCCTGTATTTACACAGGTTTTCTAGTGCCGGGAACACAGAAAATGGACATTAAAATACAATAATTGAAACTAAAGTACAGTAGACATTAACTGTAGCACACATATATTTGTAATCTGGGTAAAATTTTATTTTAATATGTCAGAAGCACCTAATCAAGTCACTCTGTATCAGCAACCTGTTTACAAATTTTTACTTCATGATGTATCATCTCTCTCTGTGAGTCCATCGATTTCACTCAATAATAGTACAATAGTGTGACATGAGTGCCTGCTGCTAGTTGTGCACTTTTCTCAGTGTGGGAATTCAGCTATCAACAAAATAGGCATGAATCCTGCCCTCAGGAAGCTTCTATTCTAATGAGACAAACTAGGAACTAAACAACAAAATATCAGGTAGTAGTATGCTAACACAGTGGAATGAGTGGGTATCTGCTTTAGACGTGTGTAGGGTAAACCTGTTGTAATCTCAGTGCAGCCATCTGGGGGGAAAAGCATCACAGGACAAGGAGATTATACAGACTAAGATGGGACAAACATCAGATAGCTGGGGAAGAGAAGGAAAGCAAATGCGGCAGGCACTTAGTGGAAGGCAGATTTGAGATGGAGTTGGATGGAAGAGGTCTGGTCAAGAAGGCCCATTTTGGAAACTTGGTTTTTATTCTATGGAGATGCCACTGGGGAATTTTAGCAAGGAAATTATATGATCCTTTCATTTTAATTTAACTTTTATTTTCTACCTTTTGTTTTGTTTTTGGAAGACTTCTTTACTTCACAGCATTGGACTCATAATTAAGACACTACTCCCCAACTTAAAAAAAAACAAACCTTAATGTATCATAGTGAGACTTCTGCGTCAAAAATCATTGTTCGTATGTGCTCTTTATAAAATGTAAAATACTTTATTCCACTATTTTTCCGCTGATGAAATATTCATGTTAAGCCAAGCTTTATCTTCACACAAGCAAGGCTACAATATATGTTACGATACAACTCGTGCTTTTCTTTCTTCAGGGTAGATTCCAAAAAGGATAATTGTCTTGATCATTTTTTATTTCAAAAGTTACTAGCTGTTGAACTGGCACTTGGATTGTGGCAATAAAATGGAGAAACACGGACAGATAAGGGGTATGTTTTGGAAAGAGCCAGTGTGCCTTGATGACTATTAAAATTTAGGTTGCAAAGTTGGGGGAGATAAGCATTGGAGGTGACTCGTAAGCTTCAATCATGAGCAGCTAGACAGATTATGTTTGTACTAGTGTCTAGAGGAAAGCAGGCCAGGAATGAGTAGGATTGAAGGTCAAGACAGAATGGGACATAATATATTTGAAGGGCAGTTTTATGTGTGACAACATAGTATTCCAAGATATAGATGTAGGAGAAGTCATTAATCAATATTTTATCAGTAAATATTTAGCTGTCCCCCTCATTTCTTACCATAACTTTAATTATTCATGTCATTTTTGTGTATTTCTGATTTTTCTTAGGGCACACTCCTAGATATACAGTTTTAGGTCAAAAGATTTGTACAACTTATCACCAGAATGCCCTGAAGCTGTTTTCCTACAGTTGATAAGCATTAGTTTCTCCACATCCTCCCTGATAGTTCCATGAATGACAGAATGGCTCTGGGACCAGTGTCACTCTCATAAAAAATTGGAAAATTGGTCTCTTTTGCCTCCTGTGTTGGTCATCTTAGACAAAAACTCTTTATTCATGATTTAGCATTCATTTCATGTACTAAAAATTTTCTGATAGCTTTTTTTCTGTGCCAATCACCATATTATATGCAAGAGATCAAAAAACAATTACAAACTGTTCATACCCTCTGCAGACTCACATTCTGGTATAGAAGACAGACATAAGCTTACAACTGAAATACAGTGATCATCCTTATCCAGAAAGCAGTCTAGCATGTTCTGGGAACATGCTAAAGGAGCAGTAACCCAGATTTGTTTCAGTAGCTAGAGAGATTTGGTCTGGAGAGAAAGCTCTCTAAAGGAGAGCCATTAACAATTAGGAACCAGGCAAAAGAGAGCCAGGGATGTTATTCCAGGCCAAAGGCACAGCATCTAAAGCTCAGAAGAGCAAGAAAGGAAGGGAACGAACACTTCTCAAAGGCTGGAGATGTTTTCCCAGGTAGAGGTTCATATCACGGGAATGCTCAGTTACACTGGGAATTGCCGACTCTC